TTATTAATCATGTTTGTCATATTACATGTTAGTATGTAAGAAAAAACATTATGTGAAAATTAAAAAATCAATATTAATTATGACATGTCACGAGAATTTTTTAAGATTTTTTTACGAAATTTTATCTAATTTATTTTTATTTATTATAATTATTTATAAATTAAATATTTGTATTTCAACATAAATTATCAATAAATAAAGTGATTTTATGTTAAAATATAAATTATTTATTATAAATATAAAATATAGTTTACATACTTAAAAATATATATTTATACAAATTTTACATATAAATTTATATATTTATATATATAATTTATTATAAATTTTAATTATATAATAAACATGATTACACGTTCAAATATTAGTATATTTAATGATAAAGAATAAAAATATTTTTCATTATACAATTTTAAAGATTTTCTCATCAATTAAATTATTTTTGGTAATAACTAATTATAACATTGTTTTTATAAAAATGATAATAATAAACATATTATTTTAAAAAATGAATAATAGTTAAATATGTTTTGTAAAACTTTTGAAGAAATTATTATTTTAAAAATAATTAAATTAAAATAAAATTATGCACTAACTCTTAATCAAAATTTAATGATAACGAAAATGTTAGTTATGATTTTATTTTGTGCTCTTCAACATAATTTTTAGTGTGCAAGCACATTATGATTTTCAAAATTTATTGAAATCAGAAAATGTGGATCTTATTTTTATTTGTTAAGTATATTCGTGTTTCCATAAATTTTAACTAATAATAAAATATATTAAAAAAATCTGTTCTAAAGCATATTTTTAACGCTCGTCATTAATTATAATTAAATAAATGTTAAATAAACATGTACTCAGTTTGGAAGAAAATCTAGGCAAAAGCTTTTTCCAGATATACTTACTAGTTACATTTGGTGACAGATTAATAATAATACAGAAATAATTTTGCTTAGAAAAATGTTTGTTGCCCATGTATTTATATTGTTCGAGACAAATAATATTAATGTTGAATTAAAAAAGTATTAATAATAGCTTTTTATAATGTATGGTGCAGTTTAAAGAAGTGTTCCTGGAACAAAAGGGTACTTCCATGTTCCATCTTCACTTTCATTATATTATCACGTGTTTGTCGCCTTTTTAGGTTGCTTTTAAGTTTTTATGTCTTTACTTTTTCTTTTAGCTTTCTATTAGGCTTTTCTCGTAAATATGTTTTTATATTTTTCAGGTTAAAATCGAAACATTAGGCCCAATACCAGACCAAGAAAAAACATAGACATGGACCCATTATCACATAGTAATAATACAGATCATATTAGGTGTTATGTCAGTCAGAATTGAAAAACATAAATTTCAAAATTGGCTAAACAAAAATTACTAAAATAAAGTTGCCATGATATTTTTATATGTAACTTCAATTTCAGCAATTTTAAATGTTTCTTAGATGAGAAAGTTCAAACTTCGAATTTGAAACGCAAATTTCAGCTATTTATTTCGTTTGCACGATTACTGAAATAGCCTATGTTGCACCATTTTTGGCATGTCTGTTTTTTTTCCAATACAAATTGTTTTTCCTCTTGCATGTAAAGAGTATCAAATTTAGCTATATGTGTTTTCCAAAACATTTTGCATCATTAATTTGGATACTTTGCAATTAGAATGTCAAATGGCATGATTTTACTTTGCAATTAGTATTTCATTGCTTGCTTCCATTTTGATGCGGTCAAACTATGAAGGGCAACTTTCATTTTTGTTTAATGTAATGTTTCAACCTTTCATAAAGTGGAGATATTTAAACACAATCATATTTAATTTGATTTTTTAATAACCTGTATCCATCACTGCAGCTTTACTTCTAACATTGATGATTTGACCCTTCAAATGATTTTCTTTTGACATTGACAAAAAAATTAATTGAGTATAATTAGGTTAGGTGAAGATAGATATCCCATATTCAAATTCACTATCTTCAAATAAACAAACAAAAAAATCACTACCTATTTATTTATATATGAATATAAGTCATGCATCTCTCGTGAAATAAATTAAATAATTAATCTACAATGATTTTGTTTTGTTTCGCATTAACTACAGATAAAAAAATTTAATAAAATTTGTCATTTGACCACGCTTGTAAATAAAGTTTGTCGTGTTCTAGTTTTATCTTCATAGTTCATATAAACCTTTTTAGAAAACTTTAAGAGATCACATAACGAAAGTAATCTGAACACAAATGGCAGAAATATTTTTGGGCCATGATATGGAACACTTTCACATTTATTTGGGCCCTACATATGATTAAAGCCTCGCACAAACATAGTGAGGCACAAAGTTCAAAACTGAATGATTATAAATAACCACTACAGAAATATTTGAAATGTTGAAAGGTAACATGAGATTTTTTTCCCAAAGCATTCCATAAAAAATTGTGAAAAAAAAGGTTATTGGTGAAATATTGAACTTTTGGTGTATGACAACAACGCTAAAATTAGAACACATCATATCCTGCAAATTACTTAAACCTCTCATTAATGGCTTAAATGTTGAACTTTATTTGTTATAAGAATAATTTAATGATTATTTATGTTTATAACGTTTAGTTAGAAAAATGTAAATACTTAATAGCACTGTGCACAAATAATTTGCAATAGGAGTCACGCAAATAAGTAAATAAATAAACTGTGGAGAGAATTTCAATTCCTTAAATAGGTCTATCTGGCCAATGTTTTAAGTTGTGAATAGATAGGACAATATACCTTACTTAATGTAGGAAGAAAAAAAATGGTATAATAAGAGACATAACACTGTAAAGTTAAAAATAATAAAGTGTAAATGACAACCTAACAAATAGGAGTGTTAAAAAGTTCAAAATGAGTGAGTACATGTTCCCTCACATTTCTATATGTAGTTATGTTCGGTATTTGACTTGATTCGGATTAGTCAAAGTCTAATACAACTTTTGAATGCTGAAAAAATTGAATCTCTAAAAGTGTATCGAGTAGGTAGAAAATCATCCATTTCAAAATTGAATGTAAGAAGACAATAAATAGTGGAGTTTATGTCAAAGGGCTTACTGATTTGAATCTAAGAGTTTGTTTAGATATTTTTTTAAAAATATTTAAAAATTAAAAATAATTTTTTAAAAAAATTAAAACTAATTTATGTATGAATTAGAAATAAGATTATGAAAAATTAATAAAAATAAGTTTCTACAAATTAGAATATGTGTATAAATTAATTTTAATTTATAAAAAAAATTCTACTCTAAAAGTATCTGAGAGTAGTTTGCTCAAATTGACTCATTAATATTTTATGAATTTTACGATGTGACTTGTAAAGGAATCAAGATAAAAATCATCACTGGGGTGTAACTTTATAGAATCTAGTTTTTATGGGGGGTTTCCCTTTTCTTTGATGTACTGCACCATAAAAAAAAGAATCAAAATGATGATGATTAGGCCATTAAGCAGTAAAATAAGATTGAGGCCATGAAACAGTTGCAGAACCTTTTGAAAAGGCTGCAAGGCAAGGCAAAAACAAAATGAGCACTGCGTAGAAACTACCATAAATTAAGGGTATGCGAGGACAAACAGGCTCTGCCATTCATAAAACAGAAAGACTCAAAAACAAACATTTCAATGAGTTTGATGGTGAAAGGAGTGCAATGCCCTCTGTACAATTTTTTGTTCAATGTTGTCAGCACCATGTGACAGCACAGGTGAACCCCCTCTCTTTCTTCTCCCCACCTCACATGTGGGCCTTCCGTTCCGCATTACTAGACAAACTCTATTTGTTTCCACTTGCAACTTCTCTCTCTCTTTCTCCTTAGTTAATACTTTCATAACTCATCTACAATGAACCGGGACTATATTTATAGTATACTAACTCTATCAAAAGGTTAACTAACTGGCTATGTTCATTGCTACAAATATACATTCTTTTTCCTTATTATGGTTGGTTAGTGGAATAGAGCAACTCTTCTGATATTGTTCTAATTATGGTTAGTCTAAAAGGACAATCATATTTGATACACCAACTTTTAATCAAAAATGGCTTAAAATGAATTGTAACTTCTACTATGGTGTGACATTATTATCAACAAAGAATCATCGCTTATATGTTACATAGTGATAGATACACAATTGAATCAAATCAGATAATGGCCACTACTGGTCATTTTTTGAAAGCGACTAACAGCAGTTGTTATCTCTTGTACATGATTAGCTACGATTACTGGTAAATAAGTGATAAGTAATAATGAAAACTAATTTGCGGTCAGGTATCACTTGATAAAAAAGAACCTAGAAGCAGTAGAAAATAGCAACCAAATGGTAGACAAAGTTTTATACACTAAGCTAAAGTAAAACAATAGTACTTTGTTCTGCCTCAGTCTAGAGAAACATACACATCTATAGATGATTTATATGGAGGCAATGGGAGTACAACAATAAAGGAAAGGAGGAAAAGAAAAACTAGTCTTATAAGCTAATATGTCTGTCCAAGTATGCAACATGTATCGCCTGCTGTTAGTAGTATGTATTGATGATGGTGGTGACACCTCATTTGATTCTTCTCTAGAGGATCTAATCTTCTGATCTAGGTGTATTTGGCTATACATCTAGAAGATTCTTCTATAAGCTTCTATAAATCTGCAAAGAAACAAACCAGCAACAAAAGAAAAATCATTTCTGAGGTGATTTTTACTAGTAAAGAACAAACCATTTTTCCAAGAGACACAGGGAAAACAAAACTTACCCTAATAAAAATTATCCCCAGCTGGCCACTTCTATTCTTATTACCTACAATCCATAATCTTGAGACACAAAATGGAGCCACAGAAATGTGTAACTTGTCAGCAGAAGTCCATCCACATTTATTATGCAGGGAAGAGTGACATTCAGACAGCAATTAACAGTACCTTGAATTGCAAAGAAATTAACGGGAAGCCACATCGCTTGAAGTAGTTATAGGTTCTGGCTTGCTGTGAGAAGATGAGCTAGATGAAAATACAGCACTCTCATTGACCTCTGCCATTGTAGAGAAATCAGCATGATAATCTCCAGCTGCTTTTGTTGGTGAAGCGAAGAGATTATCAGGAAGGGCCTGCTCCACACTTCTCCAATGCAAAAAGAGCATGATGAAAGAACTCAACATCAGAAAATTTGAAATGAAATGATCATATCCTCGAAGAGGGAAAATTAAAATTGCAAACGCCGCCAAAATGCTGCACCATAGTACAATAGAAAGAAGATCTGAAACAAAGTCATTACCCATACCTATTACTAAGATCTACGCCTTCTTTATTTCCACTATCCTTCATATTCCCACTCTCAGAATCATCAATGTGAGCTGGATCAACTTCTATCTGAGGCTGCTGTTTCTCAGATGCAATACCTAAAGAATTGGAAGTGAAGCTGCCACCGTAGCCTGCCATTAAATATGATGATAATGTAAACTGTCTTAATCCTTTTCACTAGAACTATACCATATGCCACCTTCAATTGACTAACCTGTATTATCTCCTTTACTGCTATCAGAAGAAAGACCTGCATCATTAATATGATTATGAAGTTGATGGGGCAAGATCAAAGGAGTGCCAACAGAAAGACTGCGTTGGTGATGGTGAATGGGATTATTCTTGAAGTCTGGAAGCTGTAGATTCTTCAGCCTTCTTTCTTGAAGTTCAAGGACTTGCTGCAATTCAGCCTGCTCCTCAATTTTTCTTCTTAATAAAATATCATGGGGATTATACAACATCCTTGCCCCTGCATAAAACAAACGGTGAGAATAAAAAGAAACAAGCATGAGAGACTCCTTTGCAAGTATGTGCATCAACTTAAAATGTTCCGGAAAGTTTGGGGTATTCAAAGTAAAGGGATCGTATAAAGCAACTCTTTTAGTACACCCCTCTAAAAACCAAGTATAAAAATGTCTTAGAATTTGGACCTAGGACCTAACTTACAAAATTGGTTTGTAAGGTGAGAATTGACTAAGTCTCATAAGAATTGCATTGGTCATACCTCTGGACAATGTAGAATCTCAACACACCCTATCACGCTAAGCTCTGATCACATGTAAAATTTGGACTTAGGCATAACTCAATCCCACATAAACGACTTGTAAGGTGAGAACTACCCAATCCTTATAAAAACTGCACTGGTCATATCTCTAATCAATATGAGATCTCAATACACATATTCACACCTAGGACTAAACATCCCAAGCATAGACAAATAGGGAGACCCAATAACAGATCTATGATAGACCCTGGTACTATTTTAGAATTTGGATTAGAAAGCCTAACTCAAACCCACAAAACCAACTTGTTAGGTGAAGATTGTCCAAGCCTTAAAAGAACGACAGTGGCCATATGGCCCATATCTCTAGTTGATGCACGATCTCAACAATGCCAATATGAGAAATTTGATTACCAAGATGGAAATCATAAGGTTCTTTAGAACCAAACCCCGAGGGGCTTAAACACGGTGAAAGATCTCCTCTGTCTAATTGCTGTTGTTGATGTTGTCTCCTGCATAAATTATTCAGAATAGTATTAATTAAGGAATAGTAAGATATAAGCCAATTAAAAACATGATGCCCGCTTACTTGTCAGGAATTTTCCCCTTCTCCTTGTAGGGCTTGACAAGTACACGTGAATCACAAATAAAATGAGGATTTCCTTTGGATAATATGAGTCTCACGGTCTCTGGATACACAAAGGTAACAAACCCAAACATTCGCTTTTGCTGATATGGAATTCTCACATCTTGTACAGGCCCGAATTTGCTTCAAAGGAACAAAAGTAACTTTTCAATGAAATCCCTCAATTTGGATCTCAATGTATGTGTGCATCAATATGTAAAGACACTCTATAAGAACTTGCAAAAGTACAGCCACTACTGTGTTATATGTAATTGTATACATTAAATTATACGGCATGGTAAGGTCAATTATAGATCACAATTCCGATCATTACAATAAAGTTAGTTCTTACCTGGTAATACATATAAAATAATTTCCATTTACTTGCCATAAGGTCCACGCCATTACTAAGACACTTAATCTTAGTTAATAGAATATATCACTATTTTTAAGCTGCATCCTTCTGACCAGAATCAAACCCTACAGGTCACAAACAAGCCTCCATCCATCCTTTTCTATAATTAATGAACAACTATATCTTTCACACACAAAAAAGAAATTAAAAAATCCAGATGAAATCCTACATCTGCTTCCAAAATGTTGTCGTTTAGAACTTGGGATTGTGTACACCATCAGGTGGATATTATTCTGTAACCGCAAAATCATAATCAAGCAAATTAATTGTATAACTGCAAATCATGACAACAAATCTTTATATCAATGTCATGTTTATGAAAAGCACTTTTCAAGCTTTCTTTCAATCCCAGTTTGACACGTTACAATCATACCAATTATGAGATGTATTTCAAACATTAAAACTAAAATTTGAATTTAATCATTAAATAAAACAGGGTTACTTTATGTATGGCATCCTAACACGGACTACCCAACCAAAGAAGTAGATATATAGTTTCAAAAACACACACTAATTAGTAATTAGCATGTTCAAAACACTTTCATTTAGTAATGAGTTGGCCATTGATGTAGACTTTTCCTTTGATAAACCAATAGTCATTGGCAAGCTAAAGAACTGCACAACTATTTTGATTGGGACATGCACACACATCATAATGGTATGCATCATGACTCATGAGAAGTGATCACTATAAGCTATGAACTTCATTGTTTGCCAAGCTTCTTAACAAGAAAAACTAAATTATTTTGTTTTAAAGGGAAAACACATATTGAAGTGATACCTGAAAATATGGTATTAACCCAGTCTCCTCATGGGAGACATACATCATGCTCTTCAAAGTTTATCGCCTAAAAAAGACAAACTCTAAATGTTACACATAAAACATATGACTTGGAAGTGAAATTCTAAATTCAGTAACATCATGACGAATGATTACTGAGTTTAAACTGGGCACTCTAGATTGCTGAAGGGCCAGACCACAAAAGACTCCTAATCCCCAAGCACACTCAAATCAATCAAGCATCGCAAATTGCACGAACATTGCTCAAGCTAGGACTTAAAATCAATATCAGAGGCAATCAAAATCCATCTTCTTTGGGGCTTCAAACAAAAATCACACCAAGGAGCACAAGCAAAAATATTTAAGGTGTGTGCAGTGAAAATGCCGAAAAAAACTGGAAGAATTAATAGCAACAATTAAGTACTGACACATTACACATAAAAAGCTAGCCATGATAATGTCATATAACTTCACAATTTTCAATGGCATCGCATCCATGCAAACATATTTTACCTGAAGTACTCCGAAACATCTTCATCTTTGAATGTACTTTCAGCAGGAAAAGTCAAATAAATCTGTCGCGAAGCAGAGTTGGGTTTTTCCCCAGAAATCGCGGCTAGAAATTCATTCCTTTCTGGCCTATCCCAGGCAATGTTGTAGAGCTCTTCCCCCATCATGAATGCTGCCCTGAAAAGCAAAAGCAACACAAGAATGTACAACAGATAAAAATCACCCCTCACAGCTAGAAAGCTAAACAAAAATAAAGAGGTTTCCTTCCAAATTGTAATAAACCTTTGAGACTCCTGCACCAAGAACTCGTAGTACTTCTCTCTGGCTGCTGCAGAAGGTCCAGATGCTACTCTTTGAAGCTGTGAGGCCTTGAACCTAACAAAATCTTCCCGCGGCTCCATCCCCTCAAGCTTACTAGGAGAGCCAACAATGACATCTCCAGAATCATTGAAGGCTCCATGAAGAAACTTACAATTGGTGCCATTTTTACAAAATCCCCTGGCAAAGTAAAGGCACGGCTTGAATCCAAGTCCAGGACCGGTTTCTTCACACCCAAAACTAACATCGCTGGCGGAAAAGCTTCTTCTGTGCAAATGTGAGTCACCAGCGTGCCAATTTTGACCCCCAACACCCAATTCAAGGCGTGGATCGAGCAAATCTTCGTTCTTGGAAGAGTCATTAAGGAAGGGGAAGTACTCATTCACTTGGTGCTCGTCAACAAAATCACAATCACCGTTGACACGGGGCGAGGGGGCTCGGATGCTGTCGTAAGAGAGTAAAGGAGTGGACTTTGGACTAATGGGGTTGTTGTTTGGGAAGTTCCAGGCATGGGCGTGAGAGGAGGGTGAAGATGGGTTCCTGGTGAAGTCAAAACCATTTCTTGAAAACGGGTTGGAGGAGGTTGCAGCGAGTCTTGCTATGGGGTTAAGAGGAGAAGGGGGGAGAGAAGGGGAAGAAGGGGTAGAGAGTGTGAGTCCCAAGTGGCTCTTAACCCTCATAACAAGATTGTGGAGCACAGAGTCAGCGCTGCACGCCAACCGAATTAGTTCAGACTCTTCAAGATTCATGAGAAGGTACCCCATGATTTTTGAAGCGTTTTCAGGATCAAAATTTTTTATTTTGGAGAGGACCACATTAGTGGCTTCGAAAGAACCCATGAAAGATGAAATCTTGGAGGGAGAAATGGCAGAGCCAGAGGGGGTGGTGGTGGTGAAGTTTGTTACCTTAGCAGTAGGAGTAGCAGTAGGTTTTGGAGACTAAGCATACATTGGTTCAACACTCACTCTACTCACTCACACTCACACTCACACTCACACTCTCACTCTCTCTTTCTCTTTCTCTTTCTCTTTCTCTCTCTGTAATCTCTCTCCTATCTTCGGAGACCGAGAGCGGTAGATTTCTCAGATCCACAACAAGATGGATGGATAATCGTCAACACCATAAGTTACAATATGCTCCCAGGTTTTCTTAAAAAAGGAAAAACAAAATAACGCTTTCAATTTTTTATTTAAAAAATTATTTGTAACCATATAAATATATAAAACAAAAGAGATTTCACAGCATATAATCGGTCATTTTTTTCACAAAAATTATTCCTCAATTCAAGAGTCGATGATCAAAAAAATATATAGAATGTTTTACAAAATATAGAAATGTAATTTAATTCTTTTAAACGGTTTTATGTATATTAAATTAATTTAAGTATAATACCTTTTCTATATAGAAAGAAAGGGAAAAAATAAAGAAAATTTCCATTTAACGGTAATTTATTTAACTCAAATGCGTACACCAGAAAAAAAAAAAAAAACAAACAAACAAACAGCTTTAGTCAAATTTTTAAGAAATTTTGAAAAAATAGTTACTTTTTAAAAAAATAAATATTTCCGACATAAACTCAAATATCTTGTGATTTCTTTTAACTTGTCACGACTTGAAAATAATCAAATAATAAATAATTTTTTTTAAAAGACTCAATCTTATCATCTAAAAATACAACTGATTGATATTCAAAATAAATTAACAGTATAATTAAACGCTGCAATACAAAGATTTTTAATTTATTGTTCCAAATTTTAGTTTTTCAATTTTATCAGATTCAATTGTTTATAAGTTTTTTATGGTTGCATTTTTAATGGAAGACTTAAATTTTCAAATATAAAACAATTTAATTACGTGTCAACACCAATAAATTAGTTACGAGATAGTCAGAATTTAAAAGTTGTTTTAGATATAAGCTACATCCTACCATTCATGTAATCGCTAAACATGTCATCGTACTAAAATAATGCTAAAGTCTGTTACCATTATAACTCACCTTTTGTTTTTAGTTACATTAATTTTTTTTTTTCTAGTTCCTATTCATTAGGGTGGAGTGATAGCCAACGTATTAGCTACTACTACACATATGCTATCTCTTTAATATTATCAATGATTATTCCGTCAAATAAAATCAATGATTGTAGGGTAATTGTTTGCATTTAAGACAAACTTTAATTTCATAACACAAATTATGTTTATCACATTTTAATTCAGATATAATTTGATATTAAAAAGCTTTTTTTGGGCTGAAATTAAAAGGTTATATACTCTTCTTCTACTACTACTACTACTACTATTATTATTATTATTATTATTATTATTATTATTATTATTATTATTATTATTATTATTATTATTATTATTATTATTATTATTCCAAAGACACTACTTACTAGTATTTTTTTTACATAAAATAGTAAGCATGGGTTAACACCTCCAAGATTATCAAATAAGGAGTCAAAAGTGACCAATTTAATCTAACACTTCATCTCTCAAACTCACCTATAAAGACCCCCCAAAAATATTTTACCTCTGACATTAAAAAAATTTCTTAAATATGTTCTCCATCGTATAATTTTGTTGATCATAGAGGATGTTGGGCTTCCTTTATTCAGCAAATTTTTCCTTCAACCAGTCTAATTTTATTAAAAGGAGCGCTACTATTTCATAACAGAATTCAAATGGGGCAAAAGTTACTAAAGGAAAATAACCTATCACAAATTTGATAATAATACACACGTTAGATAAAATGAAAAGAGAAATGTTAACATAGTGGCACACGAATTTGTGCCATCAAACATTTCACTACTAAATGAATTAATAAATACCACCTTTAAGGAGTTACCAAGTCATTGACTAGTTGGTTCAAGTAAGAGGTAGGCATCACACGCTAGGTTATAAACTAAACGACAAAGATCCACCAATGCCACCAAACAGAAATATTGGTGTTGCATATCGCATTTAACTTTATTAAGCCTTTACACGTAACAATACCAATTCCCATACCCATGTAAATGCACGGACAGGGTAAATGAAAAGATATGAGAAAGAGATGCATACATTGAAAGAAAGAGAGATTTATAGCTCAGAAAAAGAAAAAAAGAATAGAGACACACTTTAAAATGCATAACACAAACAAACCACAATCGAAAGGCGATCCTACGTCCCTCAACATAACACCGTCACGTGTACGAAAAGAGCATGTTCAAAACACATTACTAAATGCAACAAGAGTATGTTAAACATCATACACCATAATAAACTAGCTACAAATTAATAGCATTCAACAACGGATTTAATGGATGAGAATCATCAGCGTCAAATATGTATTTTCCCTGACGGAAGCACAAGTATCAGAAAAATCCTCCAACACTGGAGCAATAGAAGAAACCAAGCCGCTCATTCAAGGGTTCACACATCGACACAAGCATTCACTCAAAACACATGTCAATATCTCCTCCGCGGGCTTCGGGAGCGACGTTCACGAGGTGGTCTGAAAAATGATAAAGTTCAAAACATTTATATGCTGAACACGGAAAGATTTATAATACAAATCCAGAAAACCTTAACCACGTGACTAAGTTCTAGGTATTTGAAGTTCTGGCCCGTGGTTTTAAATAGATTTCAAAGTTTACAACAGGGTGTTCACATACGGGGAAGAAACTCAGCACTATCACAACTAAAAAGGGCAGGATTAAATTAAACAAGTACAAAATAGGAATTCAAATTGTTTTACACTTATCCACAGTCCAGGAATATACCCATTATTTTCATTTTCAATCCATTAGCCACGAAGAAAATTATATAATATCAATTTTAATTTATGTTAAACCCAAGCTACAAAGGGAGTTCACATTGGCTAAATTAAATAGCACAGGAAATACCAAACCTAACAAAGTAACACTCAGACCAACACTGCATTCCCATGATACTTTAATGTTGCACAACTACAAAACCCTATCAAAATATTTTAAACATTAAACGTGTATAAACATACCTAGCATTCTTTCTTCTGATTGACTCATTAATAGGCCCACTGCTGAAGGCCCAGTCAACATAAATGGTTTGTGTAAGAAGCTCAGATCCATTCAAATTCTCTATTGCATTTCGAGCTTCCTCAGCACTTTCATACTCAATCAGTGCATAACCCTAAAATAAAAATACTAATTAGTCCAGAAAACAAAATTTCCATGGGATCCAGATGCTGATGGAAAAAATGTGGTAAACGAAGTTATAGAAAGAAGAATAGAAAATTTGCCATTCCTAATACTAATTTTAAAAAATGAATCAATGCTGTATGTATATAAAAGCACAAAACGGAAGAAGATCTTGCTGAACAGGAAAAAACCTTGCTACTTACAGTGACAAAAAGTCTATAAAAAGAGACTTATCTTTTATAATAAAATGAGTTGAAAAAGGGGCCAGAGGCAAACAAGAGTACAATGTAATAGAAACAGTTCAAGAAGTGACAATAACCTACACATAGTCCGGAAGAAGAACCGTGTTTTCCTTCATTCACATTGTTTCAAAATCAAGACAGTATTAGTTCTATGCTTAAAGCAATGTCAATTTTGAAATAAAAAAAAAAAATATATATATATATATATATATATATATATATATATATATATGTCATGGAGTGCAGCCAAAACCTTTCCTATCAATGAAAAACAAATTAACATCCATCTGTTCCCACAGAGTATCAGTTTTGGGCCAATAATTAACCACCAAGTAAAACAAAATTCATGCCAGAAGTCTTTACAAGCAAAATAAAAGCTCAACTCAAAAACAAAAAATTCAAAACATCCAAATGTCAAATGACTCAAATCATCAAAGTAGATCAGCAATGCAGGACACTGACAATACAATGCCAGAGACAAAACAGTAACCACCATGTAGATCAAACATTTATCATTTACCACTAGGTTATAGCCATACATATATTTGTCATGATGTCAAAAATAAAATTTCAACAAAAAAAAGGGTCCTAGTTGAAAGATAGAGCAACAAATTTAACTCAGATTACAATTAAATTCCTCCGTAATAGAGACTATTCTCAGAATCAAAAGCCTTTCGAGTAGATAGTATCCAATGAATAGGTAGCTCAATAAAATCATTTGCAGCGAGAAAGGGAAAAGAAAAGAGGAATAACCACTTACTTTGACAAAACCAGTGCGGCGATCGAGATTCAAATGCAGGTTCTTAATCTCTCCATATTCGCCAAAGGCGTTCTGCAAATCGTCCTCCTGCGCCTCCTCGTGCACGCCGGTGACCAGAATGATCCATCCTTCAATGGCTGTGGAAAGAAAATCGAAATAAATAAAATAAATAAAATAAATCGAAACCCTAACCCTAATAAAAAGGGGGGAAAGAGGACTAACATCTCTGAGGGCCAGGGCCGCCCTCGGTTGTGAGAGAGTCGAAGTCGGAGCCAGAGAGGCGCGTGTTGCGGTTGGCATCGGTCTCCTGGCGGAATCCGCGGCCCTTGGTCTTCTTAGGGGCGGCGACAGAGGAAGTGGCGGCAGCGGTGATGGCGGATTTGAGCTTGGGATGAGGCGGAGATGCGTCGGCGTCGGGGGCGCCCTCCTCGTCCATCAAGTCATCGTCCTCAGGCTCGAAATCCAAGGCCTCTCCGTCGGCTGCGCTTCCCTGCATCTCTCAAACACACGCGATTGAATTCGAATTTAGTTATGGAACAGTCTCAGTGTGTGTAAGAAAGAGAAAAAGCTCTTTATCTTATTCTTATGTTCGGATATTTAGCTCGATAAGGTTAAATCCTTCCGGGGTTTATCTAGGGCACAACGTTCCTTCTCTATTTACATTTTTTTTTATTTTAAATTTTTTTATTTTATTGTAAATTTTTTTAAGTGAGTTTTTAATTTTTACTTTGTTTCTTAATTATGAATAAAATAAATAATAAAAATGAAATGATAATTATTGGATGTTTTACAATAATTAAAAAAATGACATTTAAAATAAAAATAAAAATTAATTGAAATTAAAAAAATTTCATCTAAATTAGTTACACATATCAAATAAAATGGTTCCTTTCTCATTAGTGTAATATAAACACAACTTTCTTCTCTAATCACAACAATTTTATTATTGATATGTATTTAAAGATATTGGTATATAATTTGTGAAAATTTTGGTGGATCGTAAAATGTACTTATTTAGTATTTGCAGAGATGAAACTATCGATCTACTCATAACCAACAACTAGATCATTTAGAAAGGAAACTTATTTATTTAAGTGTTAATATGTGTTTTATGAATGTTAGTGGTCAACTTATGAAGGCATTGGTAGATCGTCACAGAACATACTTGTCTATTTTAATGTTAGTATGTACTTGAGAGATACTAGTGATCAGTTTGTGAAAACGTTGGTGTACCACAAAATATACTTGCCTAGTATCTATGAAAGTAAGACTGTTGACTTTTTTACAACAATCAGCTGGATCATTAAGAAACAAAAATCATGTATTTCAGTGTTAGTATGTGCTTAAGAGATGATACTGGTTAATTTGTAAAAACTTTAGTATCCCACAAAATATACCTATTTAATGTCTACAAAAGTGAAGTTATTCGTCTCCTCACAATTATCAATTGGATAGCCAAGAAAGGAAACTCGTATATTTTCTCCAAACTTGAATAACCAATTGGTGACAAACATTTGCTAAACCTTTCGAAATTTGGGATTATTATGCCTCAATGTAGAAAGCTCCATAAATTGATTGTTTGGCTTTGTTAAAAAACAAAAAACAAAATAAAATTGTAACTCGTGGTGACTTATATTTCCTTTTTTTTAGTGGAGGTGCGTGGTGCATCTTTCACTGTTAGTATAATATAATACAATTTTATTATATAATTACTGTTTTTAAAATTAGTTTAGAAAATGTGTTTTTAAAAGGTTAAATTTAAATATGTATTAACATTTTTTTGTTACAAAAAGTGTAGATTGGGATAAGGTATGGGTATAACCTCATGGAACGTTAAAGTTAATTATCAACCTCTTTAAATATTTTTAATGGGATTACTGACTACTTAAGTTATTTTTAATACAAATTCGCATAAAAAGATATAAAATACTAGAAAATCAAATTCGTGAGATATTTAAAAAGATTAATTAATTTATAAAATTATTTTAAAATTAAATTTAAATTCAAAATAATTATTTTATTAATTACTAATATTAAACACAATTAATATCAATTTTAATAGAACATAAAATTTGACTATTATAGTTTTAATTAATTTTAATGATGAAATATTTTAAAATTAATTAATTTTAATTAGTGTGATTAATTAAAGCTACAATACTCAATGTCCCATTGTCCCTCCTATAACTAATTTTGCTTTGTTTGCATCTTCGAATCGATCAATTTTTGGAGGTGAGAGCCGATTGTTGGATGATGAGGTATGTTTTCCTTTTAAAAACTTTCAATTATATTATATTATTGAAATGTTTGTGCATTAAATTAAAAGTTACTAAGAAAAATTAAATATTCATTTATTTGTGTGAAAGATTGTGAAGAGAATAATAATGAGACAACATTTAGAGAATAATCGTAATTACATGATTTAATATTATTTTTATATAGATTTTTAAAAATTAATTATATTTTTACAAAATTTTTTGATTTTTAAAAACATAATATTCCGGGTTTAAAAAGATGAGAATGAGTTTTGATTTTAAAAGCATATTATTTCGGTTTTAAAAAAAATTATTCCAATGTTAGATAATCATGTTACTTTTTGAATAAGTTTTGAAAATAATTTTTTTCTGATACACGTTTTAAAATCACTATTATCTTTAATTTCTCATTTTATAAGATACCTTTTTTTTTGGTAAAGAAAAATAATGTAGAGTGGGTAACTTTATTACCATCAAAGTCTTGAAGGAGACTTAATTTTGATGAAACTGAAGGATACTTCCACGGATTCTATAGTTTAAAAAAAGAATTAAATCCTAAGTTCATTTAGTTACATTAATCTTAAAAATAGAATTTCTTAAAATACAATCGGAGATGAAATAGTCAGTGGGTTAAGACTCAGTTTTTTTTTTTTTTTTTTTTTTTTAAATAATTTTCCATTTTCTAAAATTTAATCTTCCAAGTACATTTATATTTTGTATTAGTTTACTTTATGAACACTTGATGAATGTGAAAAAAACATTATTTGAATGATGACGAGTACAGCGAATGAGCGAGCAATAGCAGCATAGGTGAATTAAAATATGAAAGCGTGTAATTTCCGAAAAGAAAAAGAAAATTAATAATCGGCATGAACTTTATCTTTAACATATGATGATATGATATGATATCACATTCTATCTATCCTCAACTCAACTCAACTCAACTCACCAATTCTCTTCTCTCATCTCCTTGATATGAATACTCTTTCTTCCACGCTCCATAGCGCCTGGGTTACCCTTCCTCCTTCTCAGTTAACGTTGTCATCTCCGAAATGTCACACCAGGCTTCATCGGATCAAGGCTTCCATTGCCGTTGAGCAACAAACTAAGGTTGCTCTCATCAGAATTGGCACCAGAGGAAGGTATTCTTTTCCCCCATTTTCCCTACTTATAAACCCTAAATGCACCTTTTTTTTTTCTTTTTCAAAAGAGGGTTTTGGGGGTATAGGCTTTCACCCTCTTGGTCATACTTTTGAAGGCTTGTTATGTAAATGTCTTAATATTTGTGATGCCACTTTTTTATTATCTTGTTTTAAAATTATTTATCTATTTCATGATTTTGTTGCTGTTATTACCATTGGTGAAAACAAGTGTGCAATGCCATCCAGAAATGTATTGATGAGCTAATTGATGGAATGTTAGTAGTTATTTTGGTGAGTTAGACTTGAGTTGACTTCATACCCATTTAGACTCGAAAGATGTTGAGCCTAGAAGTAGTAATTATTTCGGGGGAAAAGAAAGTAAAATGTTCATTCTTCTGTTATGAAAATTTGTTTATATGTTACTAAATTTTGAACTTTAGTAATTTCTAGGCTAGAAATAAGTATTTGTGGAAAGAAAGGGAAAAAATGGCAATTTGTCTTCACTTCTGCTATGAAATTTTATCATTATTTGTTACTCAATTTTAACTAGCTGGATGGTGGTTATACATGCTTCCATTTTTGGATTAGCAAAGATTCTCAGATCCCTTCTATCCAAATTGGGTTATTTTTATGTTTTTCATGTGTAGAGCAGTCCACTAGCTCTAGCACAAGCGTATGAGACCAGAGACAAACTCATGGCATCACACCCAGATCTAGCCGAAGAGGGGGCTATACAGATTGTGATAATAAAAACAACAGGTGACAAAATCCTCACACAACCACTTGCAGACATAGGTGGGAAGGGCTTGTTCACCAAAGAAATAGACGAGGCTCTCTTAAATAGTGAAATTGACATTGCTGTCCATTCAATGAAGGACGTTCCTACTTACTTACCTGATAAAACAATTCTTCCATGTAACCTTCCTCGAGAGGATGTCAGAGATGCATTTATATCCTTGAGTGCAACTTCTTTAGCTGATCTTCCCCTCGGAAGTGTTATTGGTACTGCATCACTAAGACGGAAGTCACAGATACTCCACAGATATCCATCTTTAAATGTAAGTTAGCAATCCTTTTAACTCATTATGACCTAACAGCCTGAAATCGCAAATTATTGTTTCCTACACTTGTTTTTACCAAATTAGTTGCTCTAGCAGATGACTTAAATGGACATCTCTTGTATAAAATTTCAAATTTCCTTTTTTGCCTGCAGGATGTTATCAAAGTTATCATTACATACATTGTCAATATAACATAAAAATAGAAAATTATAGTTAATGAGAAGTCATTGGAAGTTTCAATCTCTATTCTCAAGGTAAAATAGAAGAGCAAATTGACAAATGGTCACAGTAGTGTTGCACTTGCTGTTGCTGAAACCTAATACATACATCAGATTTTTAAATGCTTATGAAAGTATGTAATGGGAACTTGTAACACTTCAAATCATAATATTTTATAGCTGTTGTCATGTACGAATTGTGATCAAATAATTTAAAGTAATGTTGTAATCATTTGTGGATGATTGAATTTAGTAGATTGTCATTACTCATTAGTATGCCCATGTTAACACATGGACTAACAATTTTGGTTGGGACTATGAAGTAATAGACAATATGTTATCCTTGTGAGCCATACTCGGGTTACGAGCATTGTCTGTGTCTTTAACATTTAGCCTTCTTAGAAAGCTATAGTCGTTTTTCTCTTGCTGTTTCAAATGGTCATTTTTTCTTCACTCCATGAATGTTGTCTTTCTTGAAGCATTTTCCTTTTCCATCAAAGGTTTTTAATTGTTCTTGTGCTACTTCATTTGTGGTTTTTTTATTTTTTGGACCACTGATAAATTGTTCTGGATTTTTATTTCTCAGGTGCAGGAAAATTTCCGTGGCAATGTCCAAACAAGGTTAAGAAAACTCAGTGAGGGGGTTGTCCAAGCTACACTATTAGCATTAGCTGGACTCAAACGCTTAAATATGACAGAAAATGTGACTTCAATCCTATCAATTGACGATATGCTTCCAGCTGTTGCCCAAGGTGCTATTGGAATAGCCTGTAGAAGTAATGATGATAAAATGGTAAGTGATTAAATATAGTGCAGAATTTTTGGCAGACTTGCTGTTATTTTTAGGTGCCGGGAAGTAATGTTTGTATGCACCATTAAATACCTAACTGCAACAAATTCCAACTCAAATCAGGAAAAAAATATTGGTCTATATTAGGAATCTGAAGCATTCCAACTTAACTGAATAATATTACAATTTTACATTGCACCTTACATTCTTTACTCGTTTATGATTCTCAATATTTTTGACTTTTTGGTTGAATGGTTTCTGCAGGCAGAATACATTGCTTCACTGAATCATAATGAAACAAGACTGGCAGTTGTCTGTGAAAGGGCCTTTCTTCAGACTTTGGATGGGTCTTGCCGCACTCCTATTGCAGGGTATGCTTGCAGAAATGAGGATGGCAATTGTTTGTTCAGAGGACTAGTTGCCTCCCCTGATGGAACCCGCGGTATGAGCATCTTGTCATAGATTTATGTATTTGACTTTGTCTACTTTCTAATCCTTCACAAGTAACTTTTCTCTAAGCTCTCCTGCAATTTCTTTGTGTAGTGCTAGAAACATCCAGGGTTGGTCCTTATGCTGTTGAAGACATGATTGAAATGGGTAAGGATGCTGGCAAGGAGCTTCTTTCTCGGGCTGGACCTAACTTCTTCAGTAGTTAGCCTCAGGTTAAAGTGTTGACTGGGTGCACAGAGGCTTCATGGTCAATTTTTGATAACTGTTTCCCATGTTAATTCATTCTTTGACCTGTTGTAACTTAGAGTAGATTATGTGTCCAATTGAGTTTGGGAGAGTGGACCTCTCATTAAGGTCGAGTTGTTGTATTTTGAGGATATTAGAATGCCAATTTTTTAGATAGTTTGTATAATCCCCACAATAGTGGACTTTTGAGAGTTCATGCTAAATACATCTGGGCGTTTCTCCAATTCTACTGTACTTAAATTTCCTTGTTATTGCATGGTTAACACAGACTACACATCCCCAAAGGAAAAATCCTAGGTTTTGCCCTTGACTTCAGTTACAGTTACAGCTTACTTTGCAGCGAGTTAATGCCAAGGGCACATTATGTTTACTGTCACATCTTTTCACTCATGCATATAATTTATTTTTTTATTTATTGTAATCAAACTCATATTAAGAAGTCTACAACAACTTGCACATCTTATTCAACTGCATCGGCTCCAAACCAAATGGGTTCGATCTCTTTGGTTTTCACATGTACATGTACATGTTTAATAAAAATATAGCAAGTGCGCAGCTGTAATTAGATGGTGAAGAACTGAAAAACTAAAAGGTGAATGCGTGTACATACCGTTGACGGAACGTTGAAATTGGAACTTTATTATGTGGAAGCTTAAGTGTATGTGTGAATTCTAGTTTAAAATCTATGTTTCGATAAAAAAAAATAAAAAAAATTATGAGTGTAATATTTTTTTTCTTCAAGGTTCTCAAACACACCCTAAGCATGATGGGTAATCATCTAAATTGGATTGATACATCTACCTCTGGTGCTAAAATTTTCTCTTGCCACCTGGGTTTGGGTAAAGTCGGGCCCAATTAAGAGAAAAACAATTATTGGGGTGTTCAACTCGGAGAAGCTGTTGCTGCAAAAGCTGATTGGCTACTTCATTTCCAAATGCTAATTAATATATGCTATGTATCACATTTAAATAAAAGCTTCACTTTTTTTTTTTTTTTTTACAAAAATATGATGATTTAATTTTTTTTAAATGGAAAATGTAACAGTTTAGATTCATTTTTAAATGAAGGAATCATATTCTGCTTCATATGTTAGCTATTTAACGGAAATAAACTAGTAAAGTTAATAAAAATATAATTATAATTTAAGAATTAGTAAAAATAAATCTTAAATATGTTTTTATTGTATAAAATGAACAAAATTTTATTTTAGTGCTTGCAAAACTTTCCTATGTTTTTCTGATAATTTTTAACATGTGACTGTATATATAATATTAAGTCATGTATTATATGTTATCTATAAGATTATGTCTTTATTAAAGTGATACAAGAATAAATTTATTGAGATTTGTATAATCTCATCTGGTGTGATCCCTGTATAATGTGTAGATACCAAAATTCTTATTTCTATTATTTTGATGGGTAAAATAGAAATACGAAATAAATAATAGTTGTAATTTTTCTTGGATGATTATAAAGTTATAATGACATGATTACTCATGAAGAAAACTTGACTACAATAAAAGGATTATAATCTCTAAGTCATATGCATCATTTTTGTTTTCTAACTTTCCATCATTAAAGATTATCGAAAGAGATCAGACATAAAGACTTTGAAAGATCAAAATTAACTTAAAAGTTATTGTCACGATGTTTGTTATCTTGTTCTTCCTTTTCTCCATGATCTATATTACAATATTTTTATCTTTTTAAATTATGATTTTTTTTTAGAACTATCACATGTTAAGACACCACAACACAGCGCATAACACAAGTAGTTAATTAATGTCATTAAACAATAAAGACAAAAAAAATAATGGTTTATATATTTTTTAGGAATTAAAACTAATGAAATATTTTGACAATGATTAAAATAAAAATTATATATTATATAAAAATAAAAAATATATTTAAGTCTAAAAAAATTAAAAATTTATCTCATTTTATAAAATCTCAAAATTAAAGAAAACAAAAAAAACTCGTTTGTTTAAGTTTAAAAAATCGTAATATGATTTTTCAGATCCTTTTTAAAAAATATTATTTTTCATTGAATATCAATATACTTATTTTGAATTTTGTAAACATACATATATAACTATTATAATATCTGAATTAAAAAGTAGCAACATAAAAGATGAAACGAAATCCTGAAAACATAAAAGAAAAAGAAGAGAGTTGAATCAATGAATCTGAAAGAGAGAATGAGGCATTTTGAAAAAGATGAAAGAAAAAGAAACAGAAAAATGGTGTCCACACGTTAGAGATTCTGATGCAATGTGTATTGGTGGAATCAAAGTGTGGCATTCTTTTCACAGTGGAATCTAAGTCAGTCTTGTCGTGTTGTATAAGTCCCCATACCACAACATGCTCTTCTATTTTTAGATCAATCAAACTTACTTACCTCTGTTCATTGTTGAACAACTACCACCTTTACTTTTTCCTTTTTTTAATACACAGGCCCATCAATATGATGTTGTAGGCCCATGTCTTTTTGTTTTATTATTGAAAAATCTCAGATTGGTTACATATTATTCACAATTACTATTGGTATTTGTGTATGTAGAATGCATAATATAAATTATAATTTTTAATTATAACATTTATATTTATAAACGTAGTATTTTTTTTAATTAAGATTGTCACAGGAAAATTTATTTAAACTGTAAATTTGTTTCAATTTATTTCTCCATGTATTTTTTATTTATTGTATATGTTTACTTACTTTTATATTTTCAACCTTTTTCAAAATATATTGATTACAAAAAAAATGACTACTTTTTTTTTTAAAACATATAACAATTCATAATTAATTGGTAGTGTGAAATATTACACTAATGACGTATTCTAATTAAATTCTTACCTTAAATTAAAATATGTATGATTTACAATTTTATTAATAAAGAATGAAAATAATCTTTAAATTTAATTTAAATATACTGACAATCTTTTTCTTTTCACTACCATTCAATTATGAATTATAATATAATAAAATATTATTAATTTTGTGATAATTATTTTAAAAGTCACCATTTAAAATTATTCTTAATCAGTTAATAAATAAAATATTGATACCGATAGTCTATATAGAAATTAAATTCATTAATATTTTAATGAGGTATATATTTATATATATGGAATCATTTTTTTTATACTTCAATTATTTTTTAGGTTATCAGTGTGAATATTTACTAATTTTACTAATAATTAATTTTTATAAATAAAAAAGTCGGTCACCCTTAAAGATTATTTATTGAGTTAATACTGCTAGTGTAAAGTTTTTTATATTGACAGTCAATCAGAGTCGTTAATAGTGCTTTTTTATTTTAATTTAATTAAATGAACAGATGAAAAGACACTATTAACAGTTCTGATTAACCGTCAGTTTAAAAAATTTTTACACTGACAATATATAGGTGATTAACTCTTATTTATTAGTTGTCGACTAATTCTTCTTTTATGATACACGTGACATGTAGAGAAGAAAGTAAATTTTGGATACTTATATATTAATTACTTTTTTTTTAGAATATGATTTAAATAATCTCTAAATCATGTAATATTTTTTTTAATGTTTATATATATATATATATTAAATTTGAAAAATCACTCAACTTATATTTATTTCTAGTTAAAAATATATTATGGATTTAAAAAAATTCAATTAATAAAACATTAAATATTTTCTAACTAAAGAAAATTTTGGTGTAAAGAAACTATATAAAATTTTCTATCTTTTAGTAATGGCAATAAAAAATTATGAAATAGAATTAATAACATTTTGTTTGAGCAGAGGTAATTTGTGTTACTGATAAAGACGAGTCACTTGTGATTTGTGAATGGTTCATGTCATTTTCTTCCGCGAGTTGCTTCAAAAGAAAATTGGGTGGTTGCTGCATTTTTCAGTCGCTTTTAGAAAACAAAACCCCGTTTGATTTGATATTTTGATGACTTTATATCAATGGAATCAAAAGGTAGAATACAATACCAATTCTAGTTATAGGGTAGGGCATCTTAATGGAAGTGCAACCACCAATCACAGTATTCATAAAGTTGCTGCAGCATCATACAAACTTTTGCTTCCAATCAAGAATCTTAACATATATACAGACTAGTATTCTTCATTCACAGTCATGCACGTAAACGAAGATAAATCATGGCATAAAGTAAAATAATATTCCTTTGCTCTTTCTTTCTTAATATTTCGTATATATTGGTTAAAGAAAGTTCCCTTAGATCATTTTAGTGTTTTAGTCGATTAAAATCTAAAAAAAATAAGTTCAAATTTAAATAGGAAAACTTTATTTACCCCTCAACTTCTAAGATGAAATTTTAGGACATCGATGTGAAAGAAAAGAAAAAGGAAATTTAAAAAGGGGCCAAGTAATGAAAGACACTTGTAATTTGATATCAATAATTACCTCGAAAGTTGAGGAACACAGAAGCATGTACTATGTACGTAGAGGTAGTTAAATTCTAAGAATCAGTAGCCGCTGCTACCACCTTCCACATGGTCCAACAAGTAACTAACCTTCCCTTTCTCTCGAGGGAATTCACATCCCAAATAATAAATTCTCTTGATCTTGGGGACCATTAAAGCAGCACTTTTCCATGAACTATCCATAATTCGAAGCTTTTGAAGCCATGTTCCATTTGGGGTACTTGATATGGTAAAAGAGAACCAAACTTGTCCTTAGACCAAACAACAAATCTTCATTTTCAATTCTTTGCTATTTCTCTTGCTTCCAATGACAACATCACCATGTCAATGTTCCATTTGATATATGCCATCTGGGGACTCTCGTCTCTCAGCTGCTTCATAGTTGTGGTTTGTGCTTCATGGTGCCCATATCAAATTTTTCAACAAACCAATCAACGATTTCAGCAGAAAACTGAAAAGTTTTGGGTGTTCAGTCAACAAACTCAAACATGGGTTGAAGCAAAACTGCCCTATGATCTTCTCTCTTGTGTGAATGGTGATTGTAGAAAAGTGGGTTCAATACTTCAGACAGAGAAGGAGACTACAGAACAAGTGTTGGAGCTTGAGCATAAACTTGATGAACAAAAGAAAAGTGTTGAAAATAATAAGGATAGTAACATGGAAGCAGAGGATGTGGTTCTGCCCCAGAGGAAGAGAATTTCATTGATTAAAATATCTGAGACATCTGTGTGGATCACTGGTCAAAGTGGTTCTATCTATGAGAGGTTTTGGAATGGAATGGAATGGGTGAATGTTCCTCATGACTTACCCGTATCAGCAGGACATGCCATATCTGTTTTTGTCATCAATCAAACGATTCTTGCTCTATCAGAATCAGGAAATCTGTATCAGGTTAGAAGATATAATACGCCATGCATCATATGTTAAGTGCTCACATGAACTGCACTACCTGATTTCTTTCCTTATCTTCATGAGCAATGAAACCTTAAATGTTATCGGAGATCCCATATCGATTAGTTATAAGACTTAAAAAATGTATATGAAACAATGCTTTCACCTTATAAGCTGGTTTTATAAAATTGAGTGATATCCATAATTCACTTTTTAAAATAGTATCAAAACTTGTTGTATCAATTATTAATTGTTGTTGAGCTTATTTGAATTATTCGCTATTAGGTTATTATCGACTACATGTAGATGTCAAGTCCCGCAAACTATGCATTGTGCATGTTAACTTTATTTTTCAGATATATGTTACACAAGCATGCACTACCATGCAATTTAATCTACCAACGTTATGCATCAGTCATGTAATTTGGACACTGATACAGTGACACTATTATGTTAAGATTCAACACTTGAACCGGTATTAATATGTAATAAACTCGGATGAAAGAAGTGATCCTCTGTAAGTTGTGGAAGTTGGAATTGGAGCTGCATAAATAACCCTTATACTTTGGATCGGCTAATTATATTTTTTGTGCTACAGATACAAGTGCAATATGGTGAAAGCTCACAACCAGTTTGGGTTGAATTGACACCTACTGATGAGGACAAAAATCTTTTGATGATGAAGTCTGGAGTTGCTTCACACGATGGGGGGTAAGTACAAATTTAATTCCTGAGATCAAACATATATGCCATTAGCATTGCCAGTGCTAAATCTAGTCACTTGATGTCTCGTGTTGTTGCATGTTGGACAGAAGAGTCTATTTCTGTACAAAGAAGGGAACACTAGTAGAACTTGCTTGGGTTGAGCCCCCAAGGTAAAACTCTAGTTTTGGAGAAATTATTTGTAGATAGGAAGTTGAATCCTAAGTTCTCTAACCTTTAACAAATGGATTCCAAGGTGTTACTAATTTCATCTCAATCTTGACATAAATATAGAACAGATGGATAAATCATGGCCAACCAGCTGGAGCAAATTTAACAGCAATAGCTGATGCTGCTTCAACAAGAGAAGTGGTATATACAATAAGGTGGGTGATTTGTGTGTGCTTGTATTGCTTTAGGCATGTTTTGTTGCAATTTCATATTTGATAAAAGTACTAAATAAATTACAGGATTTGAAAGCAAAATTATAATATATTATTCTCTTTTAATGTCAAAAACTGCCACCTAGTGAACATCAAAAGCACTATTCATCTTTTGAGTTTGACAAACTTAACAAATGGTGTGGTGCTGTAGTTCTGCTGGAGATCTTTATGAATATGACAGAAAGTCAAAACCATCATGGAAGAGGCACATATGGCAAGAAAGAAAAGCACAAGCTGCACCTTTGATGCCATCTAAAGGGTGCAGTGTACCTGGATTGAGTGGTGACCATTCTGAATCTCTGTTCCTTTTAACAAAGGTCTGTCGGGTACAAGAATGTGAAACTTTTTTTAAAAATTCAATAGGTTTTGTGAATTACTTTAACATGCTTAGCTTGGCTCAGACGTGGTTAGATTTACTTTACGATGAAGTTGTTTAAAGAAATTATTCTTGTCTAAGAGGACACCCTTTTTAAAAAATGGGTGATCATACAGGAAGGCACTTTGGTAGAGAGAAGGTTACATCAAAGGAAGTGGAAATGGGTAGTCCATGGAAGTCTCCAAGATCAAAATTTAACATCCATTACACCAGCTCTTCAAGATGAATCAAGTGAAACATCATCCATTTCCTTATTCTTCACTACATCATATGGCTCTGTCTTTGAATATCGAATTCCAAAACAATTAGGTCAGTCATCTCATCTAGTAGTGCAAAAATATTTTACTTTCCATGATTGATTTCTTGCACCGGAGGGAGTATTAATCTGTGTGCATAAAAGTCCCAAAGTTTTAAAATGAAGGGAGAATACATTTAGATTATTTCTCGTTTATTAATCTCATTCCACGCAAAAGTAATATTAATGTTCCATTTAAACTAATCTTAATTACTCAACAACATATAAGAGTATAATTGAGAAAAATTATATAAAGACATTGAAATCTTAAACCACCCAAAGTTTTGGAACAATATTAAAAAGCTAAAAGATCCAAAGTTTTGAAATAGAGGGAGTAACATCAATAGCTATTTAACAGCTGTCAAGGCTAGCACCAATTCACAGAAGCTACATATATCAGATAATTTCAACACGGTTTATTGCTCATTAGATTCTTCATTTTTTAAATTCATTTAACACCATTTCTCGATATTTTATTATTTTCAAGTGATAGGAATGACAAGTTTTAGCAATAGCATATTGCCGATGAGTGCCTACATTGGTTAAAGATTACTTAATATATTCTATTCAATATTTAATTATTTATAAATTTGTATTCTTAGTATAATAAATATATATTTTTTACTTTTGTTTCCTTAAAAAATGCTGTTGAAAGTCATTTTGGTAGAAGTGTTAAAAAGAGCAAATTATATCTATGGTCTATACAATCTAAATCCTACGTTCTAGACATTGATTTCTGACAGTCACATGAAAACAGGCCTTGTTCCAAATAATCAATTTCCAGGAGCATGGAAAAATCATCAGCATCCTCTCCATGCAAAAGCTGCAAGAGGTATATCTGGCTTACAATTATACAGTGGCAGGATACTGTTTCCACTAGATGATGGCAGACTTGCAGAGTTACATCCACTAGGACTAGGTGGTGAAAGTTCAGGGCCATCTCAGCCACAAAGCATCCGAAGGAAAGCATCAACCAAATATGTTTGGTCAATATTGGATGTGCCAGAGAGTGAAGGATGGAATGCAGAATATTGCACAGAAGAACGTGGCCCCAACAATTGTCTCACAGGCATAACAGATGAGTCAGAAGATTCAGTAATAAGTTTAGTATCAGGTAGTAGGAGAAAGCAAAACCAAGCACAGAATCATTATTTATCAGTAGGAGCTTCAGGTGGTAGACTGATACAATCTTCAGAAGAGTACAATACACTAGATAACTGGATTAGTGGCAACTTTCGCCTGAGATTGATGGATGAAGGGAAGTCATTTTTCTTAATAACAGATCATGGTTTGGTTTTTGAGTACATCTGCATTGAGAGTGCATGGATATGGCTGAGGCATGAAAGCTCAACAGCTATGAGAGGTATATTGAGTAACTATAATGGAAGCTTATTCATGGTTAATGCACATGGGAATCTGCTCCTCAGAGAAAGAAGTGGCAAGGAGTTATCATGGAGGAATTGCACTGCTGTGAGGAAAGGAAGAAATGTTATTGGAGGTCAACCTTGGGATGGATTACCAGGCCAAGAAAAGGTTGCAACTGAAGATACACTCTTCTTTGTGAGCAAAAATGGAAAACTAATGAAGTTAATGGTACGTAAACTCTAAAAAATAGAACAAAATGACAATATTGATCCTGACGCAATGTTACTTAATTGTGTAACCTTTAATAGTGATATATTAACAGTGTAAAACAACTTTATACTATCATCTAATCACAATTTACATATATAATAAATTTGTTAACTTTTACGATAACCATCTTAAAAGTCATATAAATTGTAATTTCTGATTGGTTAACTATGTAAAACTTTTTATACTGACAGTATATGATTAATTGAAAAAGTTGTTAACCATATACAAGGATATAATTTTGTTGGGAATTAATTCTTCAGACATCAAAACCAAATACAGCAACAAAAGATATCTATGCCATAATTTGAGATTTAAATTCTATACAAAATTTTTCCAGGTTTCCATGAAGAAGTTGAAATGGAAAGATTGCAGAAACCCTCCAGATGCCAAGGTGGCATGTATAGTAGACCAGGAACTGTTCAGGAAAAATATAGTGTTTGTCATTGGAAGAAATGGTCGCCTATATCAGTATAACAAAGTGACTGATTTGTGGCATGAACATTACCATTCTCAGCATTTGGTTCTATCACAGTTTCCTGGAACAGTTATAAGGCCATCATTAAAAACACTCTCAGGTTCCCTCTTCATGCTTTCAAGAGAAGGTGGCCTTGTTGAATATCAATGGAGCTCATTATATGGATGGAACTGGGTGGAACATGGAACACCCAACAGAGGTGTAACACTTGTTGGTTCACCTGGTCCAGGCTTTGAAGGCAATCAATTATTTTTGATAGGCTCAGATGGAAAAGTATACCTTAGATACATGGACAAAAAGGCCTGGAAGTGGAAGGATTGTGGTTTTCCCTATGTAGGAAATAATCTGGTTGAAGCACCTAGACACGGAGGATTCCAAAAGGACAAAGTAGATTGTATTGATGAAGATTCAACATCATACTTGAAGAAGTACCAAGGAAAAATTGGTGACCTGAACATTAAATGTGACTCAAAGGTAAATGTTATAGTCCAAAATAATTGGTAGAATTACTTAATTTTAATTGCATGTTCAAAAAGAAAAAGAAAAATAAAAACGTGGCATGGAATTGATCTAGTCTGATATGACACAGGTGGCACCTACAAGGCCAATTCCATTTTCTGAAGCTTCTGTAATATTTGAACTCAGAGATGGCAGGGTAAGAACTTGAATACAATGAGACTTCTAATTATCTGATGAAAAATCATAGTTTAATTAATACAGTCCATTGTATAGAAGGTAATAATCAATCATTATGTACAAGAAAAACTAGGATGGATGTGGATCCAAATATAACATACTAATCTCGTACTTAATACCTAGTTTTGAACTAAGGCCAACTTAATAGAAATCAATACCTATTATTAATGTTCATTAAAACTTATGAAGCTTTTCAGTGTACAGCAGCAATATTAGAAGCCTAAGTTATTTGTGGTAGAGAGTTATGCTATGTTTCTGACATCATCTCTTATGACAGTTGGCAGAAATTCAATTGGTAGAGAAGACAGAATGGGTGTGGTCCCGGATCATTGGCACTCCAGCTAGTTTATGCTTAGAAAATTATTGGAGTACTGTAGCATACAACCTTTCATGAATTTAATACTAATGTATTATTGGAGTAGAAAATATGTAAACTGTCATTCAATAACGTGTTATTAAATTATTTAATATTTTTATTTATTTATATGAATTTGTCAAAGTCATTGAATTACGGGATAACACCGTTAAGAAATATAAAATTCTTCTACCTTGACGCTTGACAATTAAATTTCTATCATGGGTAATTCTGAAACACTTGGTGTACAGACAATGTAAAACATATGCCAATAGAAGAAAGAATAGTAACAGTTACTTGTTAGCAGCAGAAAGATGCATGCCTGCTTATCTCATCTGTAAGTTAGAGCAGGGGATGTTTGAGGTAAAAATAAAAAAGCCCTAGACTAATAGAAATGAGCAGTCTCTCTCTCTCTCTCTCTCTATTCATGATTAAAACATGTCAATGTCAATGTCTCTTTCTTCACATTGCTTCAGTAAACTTTCAGTGGGAATGGGATAAATAATAGTCTCACAAGTCACCAAGGTTCGGAGTTAAGAATGAATCTTTCTTTACTTATTAGTCCGATTAACCCACCTGGCTTATGGATATTGTTTTTCTTCCTTGGAATAATCGATATATGTTTCATGTAATAGTATTAGTTATAGACATACACGGTCTCTCTAGGCTCTTTTATGTAATTAATTTCACAACTTTATCCTAATTTGAAACATCAATTCTGTAGTTCTATATCATCTAGACCTAAAATTTATCGTGAACGGAATTGTCCCCTACAGATTGTTAACAGAATTCAAAAGTTACGGAAAAAAGCTGCTCTAGAACAAACTGATCTGGAACCAACTGATATGCTGTAGGTTGAATCCAAAATCCAAATCATGTTCCTTCATATGCACACAACAAATCAAACAGTTGTTTCTTGATGTCCTTCATGTCACTTATTACTACTTTAATCCAAATCATGTTCCTTCATATGGACACAACAAATCAAGCAGTTGTTTCTTGATGCCCATCATGTCACTTCTTACTGTTTTTCTATCGTTATATAAAATGAAAATGGAAAGGTTTAATTAAAGAGGATTGCGCCTACAAATCATCCTTTGAAATATTAAAATATTGATATCTTTTAATAAATTTATTATAAAATAAATATTTAATTTAATACTTTAAATTTGAACTTATTTTTTTTAGATTTTTATCAACCGTGTAGTAAAGGGGAAACGGGTATGGAACTTTCAAGTGCCATCAAAAAGTTACAACAGTATAATAGAATCTCGGTATTAGGAGTTTCTACCACAGAAAAAAATTTGAGACTCCATTGTCCATCGAATGTTTACAATGTCCTGTCTATCACATTACAGAAAAAACAGAAAGAACGTTCAGACTTCAGACAACTTGCTGCATGTTTGTTTTCCTATTTGGAATACCATATGGGGAAGGTCCCCCAAAACAAAAAATCGTTGCTTCTCACAAAATGGGAACATTGAAACTCACACTTCTCAGTTGCAACGGGTATACAAACACAAGCTTCCAAGGTCAGTGATAATAAGTCAACAAACAGCTCATTTAATTTTCGCTATTGGAAGATACTTTCTTTTTTCTCTTGTGTTTGGGCTTGACGGCATCCTTCAGAGTCTTACCTTCATTATTCTGCCCAGCAGTTAGAGCATTGTCAATTGGTGAAGAATCTGTCTTAATTTCCTGTGGTGGTTCCTTGGGCTTAGTCTCACGTCTTGAATCCTTTTGTTTACTAGGAACTGACGGTCCTGCATATTATACAACAATTCCAGTGAGTAGAGATTATGCAGTTGTATCTTCTCACTAGACCACATACATGTGCATAAAGTGATACAGACACCAACTTATCATTTGAAATAGATAATGGAATCTGAAAGGAAAAAGTCTAAATAAAAGTAATAATGAAATCAACAATAGAAAATGATCCATACATCGACAAAAAGCCACTGTTCAATCAAAAGCCACATAACAGAAGATATCACAATTGAAGATAAAAAGAGAAGCCATTACCACGTGAAGCTAGAGAAGCTTTTAGAAGATCTGAATTGACACACTCTGAGTAGGGATCCCTGAGGAAGTGAAGGAGCAATGGTGGCAGGATATAAAATATACTTATATTAAATTTTAAAAGAATAAGTAGAGCTATTTTCTTCTTCACATAGACAAATCTCAAAATGGAAGAACATCAAAACTACCCAGTACCACTAATTACTAATTCCAGTTTACCTTCCATCACTCTGTTGCTTTGTTGCACCAAGTTTCCAGTTTACTTTCTATCACTCTGTTACTTTCTACACTCTCATAACAGTTCATTTTAGATTTATATAAATAATCTGGAACAATTTGTTATGCCATTGACATATGAGTAAATGGATTGACTAGAAACAACTAGACTATGAATAAATTTCAAATTACAAACCAATGCAAAGAAAACAATTAGTTCTTGGACTATCTGATATCTTACCAACTCGAGGGACCACCTACGAAATCTTTTGACACTTGATCCTTACTTTGCACTTGTCCTGAGGGTGTGGCTTCACATTCCATAAAATTTTCCTCTTCTTTCAGCTTCAAATTTTCCAAATGACTACCATCTAATTGATTTTGCTCCCCTAATCCAATAACAGCACCACATACATCCACAGCAACAGACGAAGAATGTCGCTTAATCTTCCGCAATGCCCTTTCATTGTTATGTATTTCAACCTAATAAATTAACAAAGCATATACACTACAATCACAATATGTCAATCCAACAAGTGTAGCAAACATGAAAATTAGAAAAAAGAACTCACAGCATCCCTAATCTTGGTTGTAATATCAGTAGCTTTAGTATGAGCAAGTTTCAAGCAATGCATGATAACGCTCTGAGACACGCCCTCACCACCAGCCTTCTGAATCGCACAAACGTCGCCGTTTGAATTAACCGTCGCAGTCATGCGTCCCGTCATCACGCGCTCTTCCTGATGCGTCGGATCTATCACCTACACACACCTAAACCTTAAACCCTAAAATCCTTAAACCATAGAGTCCTTAAACCCTAAACCCTAAACCCTAAAAACAAAACCAGATAGATATAGATAGAGAAAAGAAAATTCATACGAGAAGATTTTCATTGCTGAAGAATCCGAAGGTGACGGCAATAGGAAGATGATGAATAATCAAAGGAATAGGGTCGCGGTGTTCGGGAGGATGCACCACCACTTCCTGACCGTCGTCTCCCGACAGCGAGCATTCCGGCCGCCGAAAAGTCAACAGCGAGGCCAACGCGGCGATGTTGGCGGCGTCGACGAGGTTTCCGGCGTTGTCGAGAATGTGAATGTCGACGCGAATGGACCAGACGAGCTTCCCGGAGAGGACGCAGAGCGACTCGGTGTCGATGGCGCGGCTCTCGCGGAGGCCGCGGTCAATGACGCGGCCGAGCTCGACGGCGGCGTCGGCGGGGCGGGCGGGCTCGAAGGAGGGGTCGGCCATGGGAGAGAATTCGGTGAAGATGGAGAGGGAGCCCTCGTTGGGCCTGTCTCTGTAGGGCCGGAGGAGTTGGGCCGTGACGAAGGCCATGACGTGGGTGTGGCCCAAATGGACCTCAGCGGAGCCGTCTTCTTTGGCCAATTTGATGGTGAGCTTGCGGTGGTCGAAGGGGCGGCGGCCGTCGACGCGGAGGTCAGAAAGGAGTGCCGTTTCGATGAATTTGATGTCGTTTATTGGCATTCGCCAACTGTTTGCTAACCTCTGTTCCATCACTTCTGCTTAGGGCAAAGCAGCTGCCACTCACTCTCATACTTAGTTTTATAGTACCTTACAAATTTATATAACAATTTCAATTATTAATTTTTAAAAATCACATCCAAAATATTATAAAGACTAAAGTGGTATAATTGCCAAAAGATTTTAGTTTTTTAATTTACAGTTAATTAATCAACTACTGTATATAAAACTCCAATGATTACTTTGTGTGAGAAAATTTTTAAGATTTTTTTTTCCATAAAGAAGATTTTTAGAATTTTTTTATTTTATATTTAATTTAATTTTATGTATAATAATTATTTATATATTAAATTTTAATATTTTTTAAATAAATTACTAAAATTAAAAGTAATATTTTATTATAATATAAATTATT